TTTTTTTTAGTAGAGACGGGGTTTCACCATACTGGCCAGGCTGGTCTTGAACTCCTGACCTCACGATCTGCCCGCCTAGGCCTCCTAAAGTGCTGGGATCACAGGTGTGAGCCACCATGCCTGGCCCCTTAACTTCCTTCTATTTGAGAGCACCTCTCTCCGTTTTTTCTCCTCCTTGGAATACGAGATACCCTGCTGCATTTCCCTGAGCTGCCTCCTTAACTGTGGTCTTGGAATAGAAGATGATTCTTTACATACCTCCAGCTCCTTTTTCTTCCCAACAATCCCAGAGCCCTCCACTTCCAGGCTGTGGCCCAGGAGCAACATCTACACACAGAAACCCAACCTGTTTCCTAAATCTCCTCCCTCTCTGAAAGCCAAGGTGGAGAAGAGAAGCCTGGTAGGAGGTGATTGGATCATGGGGATGGATTTCTCATGAATGGTTTAGCACCATCCCCTTGCTTCTGTCCCTGCAACAGTGAGTTATGGCAAGATCTGATTGTTCAAAAGCGTGTGGCACCTCTTCCCCCTCTCTCTCTCTTCTGCTTTTATCATGTGATGTGCCTGCTTCCAAGTTGCCCTCAGCCATGACTGTAAGCTCCCTGAGTTCTCCCCAGAAGCGGATGCTGCTATGCTTCCCGTACAGCCTACATAACTGTGAAATGATTAAAGCTCTTTTCTTATAGATTACCCAATCTTAGGTATTTTTATAGCAATGCAAGAACGATCTTATACAGAATTTCTGGAAGTATATCACGGAGCCAATTGAAACAACGGCAAGAATCAGGTTTGTATGAAGAACCAGAACCCTTTCAGTGTTTAGGAAACCAAGAACATAGCCAAGGTTCAAAGCCAGCGGTGGTCTAGTTAGGACATTGCTACCAAGGAACTTTGCCACTGTGTCATGAATTGCCACTTACTCTCTGTTCTGTTTGTCTCATTCTTTCCAAATTAAAGGTAGAGATAAACCTTGGTCATATATCTGGGCCATAGCTTCTGGCAGATGGAGAAGAAACATCTGGTCTTTTGTGGTGGAACCCCTGCCACCCACTAGGACTCAGACCCTGATAAAGAATTTCCATGCTGGGCATAAAATATTCAACAGGGAACAATAAAATAGCTTCCATTCTACTTGGTATAGTTATATCCCTTTTATTTTTCCAGTCCAATCTCAGAGGACAAAGCAGACACCTGTGTGGATTGGTACACACTCTTACTTACCTTAGACAAAGTGAGGGGTTGACACTACCAGGGAAATTAGACTTATTCTGTGTGGCCATAAATAGTAGAATTGTATAAGTGATATGCAAGTTATTGAAAGGCATTTATCAGTGAAACACGTCTGAATGAAAACATTTCTCCATGAAGACTTTCAAATAGCAAGAGCTGCCCAAAGATGTAATAGAATGCTGAGGAGGGCGTGAGTTTCTTAGCACTGAATCATTCCAGCTGAGACTAGGAAATGGCTCAGCAGGGAACTTTTTGACCTTCACTGTCCAATGTGGGGTCTCAGATTTACATTTTATTTATTTTATTTTACTTTAGATAGGGTCTTGCCCTGTCACCAGGCTGGAGTGCAGGGGTGTGAGAGCAAAGCTCACTGCAGCTTCAAACTCCTGGGCCCAAGTGATCCTCCTGTGAGCTCCCGTGCCTGGATATAGCTCAAATTTAAATTTAAATTAGCATAAATTCCAAAATCGAATTTCTCAATCACACTAGCAGCATGTCAGTGGCTCAGTAGCCACCTATGATCAAGTGTACCATATCTGGCAACACAGCTATAGGATACTTACATCATCCAGTAGAAAGTTCTACTGGTTAGAGGGTTTCAAGCATCAAGCACAATTGCAAGAAATGGAATTAAAGCCTTTCAGTTTTAGCAGTATAAATAAAATGATATGTAATAGTTTAGATAGTGTAGGTACTATACTATTCATATTCAGAGGAGGAAAAAGAAACAAATCAAGAAATATGAAGCAAGGCTTTATGCAGCAGGTAGCAACTGGGCTGCACCCCAAAACAAGAGACAAACTAAAGAGACAGATAATAAATATTTTAGAACTTTATGATCCGCGTGGCCTCTGTTGCCACTACTCAGTTCTTCTGTGCTTCTAATGTAGCACAGTTCTTCTGATGTGGCTACAGACAACCCATAAGAAATGTGTCGCTGTGTACCAGTAAAACTTTGTTTATGCATACTGATAAAGGAATTTCATATAGTTTTCACACATCATAAAATATTCTTCTTTTTCAACCACTGAAAAGGTTAATAATCATAATTTGCCAACCCCTTTCCTAAAGGATCTCTTATGGTTGGAATGGCTAAGAGACAACAGTAATCTGACCAATCCTCTCCAATTCCTGAAATTGCTGGAGCATCCAGCTTGTAAGAGGTGGTTCCTGCAGAACCGCTAAGTATTGATGTGATGACCGCTCCTGCCCTGCTCCATGTTCCACTCTGGATTGGCCTGAAAATCAGCAGATCTTAGTAATTACCAGCACAGACTAAGGAACGAAATGGACCCACAAATGCCAACCAGCTTTACTGCTTACTAATTATGCAAATGTGAATCATTTACTCATTCTAAACTTCTGCTTTGTTGCTGTTATTGCTATTTTTAATTGTAAATGTGCTACCATCAAGAAGAATAACTCCTGGGGTTATTTTGAGAATTAAATGTGATAATATGAGTAAAGCCTTTGGAAAGGATATGTCAACGCAGGATGCTAAATAAACAATGGAAGCCACTGCTATCCCTGTTCACAGGATGCAATAATCAGAAGGAAAATGGTTGAATTGACATCAAAGATTGCAAATATTATAAAGTAAGATTGGGGGATGCTGGGCAGAAAACAAGTAAGTTTTTATTAAAACTAAGCATAAGTTAGAATTGTATTCCTATCGCAATAATTCCTCCCAAAAATGATAATTTTGAGGGTGATGCCAAGAGCTAAATCTCACATAACACCAGGAAACTTAACTCATAGGGGAAGAGGAATTATGCATTTGATTGGAGTAGCATTTCCTCCAATTTGCAGCTAACTATGATTAGTTCGTGCAAATGAGGCTTTAATTGGACCCACTTTGAACTGATGAGCAGATCATGGAAATATTTCTTATGCCTCACAGGTGGATTTGGTCACATTTGGGTAAAGAGTAGAGGTTAGTCTATGACCCAGCTGTGCCCAGCTTTTTCCTAAAGACACACTGTCTCAGGATGGAAAGTCTGGAAGGAAGGGTGTTTATTATTTCCTTATATAAGGGTAAAAACTCCTCAAATTATGCAAATTATAAAAGACATGTCCTTAGCTGTTCTTTATTTATTTTTTCATCTCCTTATAGATAATATAAAGTGTTAGTTTCTGCTTTCAATAATTGATTTCCTT